TAATAGGCAATCATGGAGGATACAAAGTAGACACTTGATGGTGAGTAGGCTAATTTAAACAGGTGGGTTTCTAGTTAGTTTAGCCGAAAGCCTGAGCACCCATGGTGACGAGGCGAGGGGACGGTTAGCAAACTGTATTATGTTTGTAAGTGCAATGCCTTTCACTTCACGGTTTTATCATACTGCTCTGGTCTTAAGCCAGCGGTTCCCAACCTGTGGGCCCCTGAAGGCATTGCAAGTGGGCCGCCAAATAATTTCCAAAACATTATGATTTGTGTGGAAACATTAACATTAACCTCTTTTCCTTTTTCTTTCTTGATCCTCCTTAGCAACAGTCAATACAGTCCTTGACAGCGGTCTGTACTACTGGATTAACAACGTGTCACATGTTCTGAATTGACCAATCAGAATCGAGTATTCAACTAAACCGTGTAATACAAATGTCTGTTTGTTACTGATAGCCAGCTCCTTTTCTAATTAAAATAAAAAGTACTCTGAGAACTTTATTTAGCCTCCGTATTGTTTATGGTTGAATGTGGGCCGTGAAAAAAAATGTGATTCTTAAGTGGGCCCTGAGTTGAAAAAGGTTGGTGACCGCTGTTTTAAGCAATGGGTTGTATAATACAACACCAGACACAATGCTGTTTAAACATTCAAAGATGGTGGTGTGGTGCACTCCTGAAGCAGGTCAGCCAAATAGGAGTGGGGGGGGGGCAGGTTGTGGAGGTCTTTTAGGTGAGCAGGAGGTTTTTGGAGTTGATCTGGGATTGAACAGGAAGCCAGTGCAGTTGGATGAGGATGGGGGTAATGGTGGATTTGTTGTTAAAATGCATATTTAGCTTGAACTTAAATCACAACAAAAGGCAGCAAAAGTAAAATAACACATCAGTGCCAAAGAAAGCTCTCTGTGAAAAACTCAAATATATGAAGTGGTGCGTATTCAAAGAACGAGTGGAGCGATGTACTTTTTACAGGCACATCCGAGGTGTTCGACAATACAAACTAGAACATGGAGATGTTTTGTTGGTGGATCAGAAAAGTGGCTTTTTCGTAGTGAGGTAAGGTTTTTTCCTCCATTATATTTCCTTTTAGAGATGGGGACAATAACTGCGTGATGATAAAAGGTTCTCTTTTCTGCCTTTTCATGGATGTTGTGATTATCAGTGTTTTTGCTTGAAAGTGGTGGTAGGATTTATGATCAAATCATAGAGCTTTTTTCCACTTTATTTTTATTCAAAAGTGTGGTATTCAGCTATAAGAGCGTGACTTATTGATTTCATGTTCAGATTTTATCCTTATAACCCTGCCCTCGCACTAAAATAGCCCCCGTTAGCGCTTTGATTTGCTCTGCTTCTCTTTCACTAATGCACAGATTTCCAGCGTTCATTTTCAGCCCTGCTCCCTTTAGTCTGTCCCTTCTGGGCTACTGTAGAAAACATGGACGCTTCACTATACTGTAACTGGCCGTTTCTCAATCGCGAGTACGCTTGCTTTGTAGCACATGTCTTCCGAGTCACTTCCTTCAGAAGCTAGGCAAGAATCTTTCCTGGCAGTCGGAAAACGAAGAGTGGAACAGGCTAGCAAGTGTGCAGGTGTGCGTCATATGAGAGGCCCCACCTTAAATTTTCCGCCACAGATTTAGGGAAATTGGTCCGTGCGCAAAGCATTGTGGGGATTTGAAGGACGCAAAGTCTACCCATGTGCAGCCTCGAAATTTCCCCCAAACCAAGGACGCGGCCTCGTTGGAATTCCAAATATGCTGGACATTGGAACGGTCCTGCTGCGCCACTTGATGACGTAGCATCCTTGAAATATTGGCTTGGAAGCCAGTTTCCTCGAGATTGAGAAACGGCCGCTGACTGACTAGAGTACATGTTTCCTATGTGAAGGGATCGTGCTAAGCAAACAAAAACACAATGATTATTAGTTTTATTTAGACAGAAGTGGATATTATAAACCCCTTGGTCCCCCAAAGCTCCAGGGCAAAATGTGCAGCCCTTGAAAATTAGTTCATCAATTTTGAAATACAAATATTCCCATTTCTACTTGTAGTTGTCTGAAGCACTTTACTGATTGTATTCTGTATTTTAATCCATATCCTATTCTTTTTAAGTGCAAAATCCTTTGGCTTTTTTACTTACTCCATTTTTTATTAAATTGTTTCTAAAATATAACTTTCAATTTATTTATAATAATATTAAACCAATTATAATTTTTTTAACATGTGAGATTTAGTCTCAGTGCTCTCATCATCACAGATCATAATATAGTTTTTGACTGAACCTTCACCCAAATAACCATAAAAGTCATGTGTTTTGTTTGCCGCATATAAATCTCTGGTTGTGTTTTAAATTGTGATGTGAACCTTGTTAAAGTACTTTGCACCCGATGCTTGAAAAGTCCTATACAAATAAAGCGTATTCATATTATTAAAGGTGAAAGCCGCAATCTAAGCCTATAGCCAGCCCTAACTTTAAGCATTATCTTTTTTATTACTGCCGATTTTCATTCATATTTTATTCCTTTTTTCATTCCATTCCATTGCAATGTAAATACTGTTATATTTTTTTATTATATTTTGTATTGTTTTTATTATTTTTTCTAGTTCCCTACCTGTGCTTTAATTCATGTTTTATTTGTATGTACGCACCATGACGTCAAGCCAAATTCCTCATATAAACCTACCTGGTAATAAACCTGTTTCTGATTCTGAAGGAAAGTCTTATGCCTACTCTTAATTGTGGAGAAGGTGTCTGCATTCAAAGCATTTTCTCCCATAAAAACCTAAATGGCCAAAATAACGAATGACTGCAGACTTAATGAAGACAACAGGATATAGCATTTGCCAAAAAATGCACGTAACACATCATATTTAACGTCCATCATGTTACTGTAAAAGCAAAGGATGTAGCTTGCCTGAAACTGTGGAAGCACTGAATGATGTTCTCTGGTGAAGAGGTTTGACAATAGCAGTGCTCAGTGACAGCGAGAGTGAGTGGAGAGCGGTTCAGGATTCATCCACCAGACAATTGAACACTCTTAAAAAGCTGTGGCTGGTTTCGGGTCAGTCGAGCAGGTGGAGGGCTTCATTTGCATTACTTTCCCCTCCAGAACATTTCTCCATCACACATACTAATTCATCCAAGTTACACTCGGATTAATACTCCAGCTGATTTTGACAACGAGAAAAGTTTCTGAGAGGCTTTTTGGAGCTGACGCATAATGCTGTTAACAGCTGAGTACAGCACAAGGATTATTCTGATTATCTTCTTTGAGTTGAGCGGGATAAAAAGCTCTTTTGTTAAACGTTAAAAATAGTAAGGTGCTCTTTGAAAATGTCAAACCTACTTTCGGTTTCTTTTTTCTGCAATTACTCACAGCTTTATAAGGATATCTCAGTTTCATGGGGGTTTGTGTTTGAAGCTTGGCACAGGAAGAGTTTATTATGAAAAGTAAATCATCATAGAAAGAGGGAATATTTGTGGAATATACTTCATGCTTATGCCTAAAGTTGAACAAATTATGTTTTTTAACACGTAAGGAAAGACCATGCCTGACATTTTATACCGTTGTTATTTCGTGATAAGTCGATCTACAGAAAATTAATGGTGACCTATCATGCAAAATGCAATTTTGTACGTCTTTTATACATGAATATGTGTCCCCGGTGTTCCAGGGAACTCACCAAGTGTCAGAAAACACAACCCTCTCTATTTTCCTCCATACCCAAATCTCTTAAAAAGGGGCTGCAACGGATCTGATACAGACTGATCCAGATTTGAACATTTTTATGTCGTCGCAGAAGTTGCGCTACGGCTATTGGGCCAACTCCACCAATCAGGAGGACACAGCCACGGACATTGCCGTTCGAAAGCGCTGGAGACGCTGTAGTACATATGCCAGGCCTGTAGATGGTGCTGTTCTCACAGAATCAGCCCATGCAAAGACAGTGTTAAATTGAGCGAAATGAGGAATGGATAAAATGCATGATCTGTTTGGTATTTTGAAAAATAAAAAGTATAAATATGCCTTATATAGGTATGGTCCTACAATATATTATTCAAAAATAGCATGATAGGTCCACTTTAAGTTGATTTGGTTAACTTGCTAGGAGCACAATTTTAATACATTTTAAAGACTTCATTTTGTATGGCAATGGAGGGTTTAGTTTGAATCCTAGTTAAATTGCATTTAATATGACCTACTTTCAGGATTAGTGGGCAGCTACTCTACAGAACCCAGGGAGAAGTGTGGGGATCCCATGCCTTGCTCAATGCACTGTGATAGTCTCTCAAGATACCCCCCGATACTATTCAGTGAGTTGTTTTTCACTTGGCTTACTATACATGAAATTATCTTTATGATCTGTTTTCCTGAGATAATTCAATAACTCAAGTAGTATTATACCATTGTGAAGACCTTTGTTTTTAATGGAATACGGGATTTATGGCATGACATATTAAGACTTTTATGGCAAACAATTAACTTTTAACAACACACTTGACCTTTCATGTAAGCTATAAAATACTTTTTAATGACTGTGTGAATAAAACCTTTCATGGGACACATTCTATCACGTTTTTCATGATATTTCCAATACTATATTCTATAATACTATACATTTGATTTGGTATTTTACCAAATGCTGTGCTGTGAATTTTTTTATATACTTTTTGTTTTACTATACCCTGACCTTTTTGATACACTTTGGACATTGTAGGAGTTTTGTCATGATAATTTAGACATACTGTATACTATGATTTCCCCCATTTATTGTATGACTTTTCATGATATTTTCAACATATTTCTCTGATGATGCTTACGTTTAATGGTGTTTTTATCCCATACTCCCCACAGTAAGAGAAACCATTTGAGAAAGTTTGTGCTGACAGTAAAGCCTGTAAAACATCTTATAAGTGAGCCCCAAGTAGAATCTGAATCTGAAAATTAGCCTCATGTCACCTTTTGCATCCAGTTCTTCTACAAGCAAACGCATCCACTTTTACAAAAAGTAATCACATTTATTTGAATCATCTTACATGATCACAATATATTATGTCTAACCACTTTGATTTTCACATCACATGTTCTCATGCATCACTGATGCCCTCTGTTATACATCGCTCTAGCCTCTGGGTATATGGAATACACCATAAAAGGAAAGACATTTGTGCTACACAATGTAGGCATGGCTTGGCCAGTTCTGGCTCCTTGGTAGTTATCTTTGTCTCTCTGTCTGCCCCGGGAAATCACAGTTGTGTAAGAGAGTCTCTGAATCCAATTTCTAAAACTTAGTCCAGGTTCCGGTGTGTCTCTGTGCTGGTCCAAGCTGTGGCTCCAGGCGCCGCCGCACCGCTAGCCGATGGTGACACCAAAGCCACACTGGAACTTGTTCTTGCGGTGGTTGAGGAAAGCACCGAGAGCCAGAGAGAGGGGCAGCGGCAGCAGTTTCTTTTCCAGGGTAGCCCCAACCATCCAGTTACTATCAACCGTGCCTGAGGAGAGGAAGAGCACATTTTTTAAAAGAGAAAATCTATATTTATTTTCGCCCTTTTCTAAATGAATAGTCATTTCATTTGTGTGGCGATGGGTGTATTAATACTGGATTTATTTACCTTTAAAGAGCAAGTTAGCTTTGGGAACGTCCAACTGGTAACCAAAGGACGCCGTGGTTTCTTGCATCCTTGTGTTGGCTTCAAATTCAACTCCTATCTGCAACTGTATTAGAAGATAGAAGTTAGAGAATAGATTGAAATGTTTTCATGTTTGTCGTAAAACAATACAGACATGCCTATTCAGATTATGTTTCTACCATCAGTGCAAGAGAAGACGAGGATCAAATCCAAAGGCCTCATTTAAAGCATAACATGCATTCTCAAGTTTAAACTATAATGAGGCTTCAGCACTCTGAGCGGCCTCAGATTCCCCCATCACTGATTCTTTGGACATGCAGTTGGGGAAAAGAAACCAAAATAGGGAAATGTTACAAAGCAAAACAATTCCCTTTGGAAGAGACTCACTAGTTCATACTGCTTAAGCTTCAAATCAGACTGAGGATTTCCCCCCCCTTTCCTTATATTGAAATCTCTTTAGGAAGGGACCCATTTGATGGCCAGTATCAGGAGAAACCATTACAGTGGGCAAATAATGATTGATTAAAGAAGACCGTAACTTTCCCCACTGTGGGCTTTCTGAAAAACATATGCTTTAAGTGAAAATTTGAATGTGAAACAAAATGCTGCATCTGAGAAGTTTTGGGAGATGAACGATGACACACACACACACACACACACACACACACACACACACACACACACACACACACACACACACACACACACACACACACACACACACACACACACACACACACTAATTTCAGGTACCTGATCATTGGCTTTGTGATAGTATGTAGCATGCGCTCCTCCTCCTCCCAAAGTCAATGTAGCTATGAAGTTGTCCCCTGGGGAGAAATAAATGATTTGAGAATCTATCACAGAGGTAACATAAGAATGAAATTAGATTTGGCACCACTTGGTCCATATCACACGACAGAAGAGTGATTAAATGAACAGGTAAATATAAGATTGAGAGAGTGACAGAGCAGGGATCTACCTGTGTACCTGCCCAACAGGAAGGTGACGGCCCCTTCCTCCCCAGGTCTTCTGTGGTACACCAGTTCTCCACCCATAGCCAGAGCCGGTGTGATGGACTGCAGATAGTGGCTCACCAAAATGCCTGAGGGAGAACAGGAAAAGAGCATCACATGATGTACACAGTATGGTCTCTTATCATCTGTATTTGTAGTATGGACATCCTGAATCAAACTGTGTGGAGTCGCTGGCAGGTTTTTATCAGATTTCAATAATCAACGAGAGAAACTTGACAACCTGCCACAATTAGACTTAGCTGTTATCTGGCTAGTGCTCTCTGTAGCTAGTGTCTATAATCTGCCAACGGTTGTTTTTGAGGGGAAAAGCTCGTAACACTGCGAGTTATTCTGTCGTCACAACAACTCCAAACAAGTTTGACTTCAATCCCTATAAAGATCCTGTCATGCAAAATACAGAGAGAGACATCAACTTTTCTATCATGACTTTAAAGTGAATATGTCTCGAACCAAGGGACTGCAGCACTTTGATCAATTAGTTTGTAAAAAGATTAGTATGGGCTCAACAACGACCCCTCTGTGGGACTTTGTTTGAGGAATTAGAAAAAACAAACCATACCAGATCCAACAAGACATCTTGGATTTCCGAGCGTCACGGCAGAGGGTGAAGTTTCCCGCAGCCATCCATGTCACACTGCAGTTACAAACTGTATGCTGCTGGTCTGACANTATATATATATATATATATATATAGTTACAACCGGCCCTTTGAGTGCAACCTTTATGCGAATGTGGCCCACGATGAAATTGAGTTTGACACCCCTGCTTTAGAGGAATAAACATATTTTTTAAATCTTCATATTCAGAAAGTTAATGAGACTCATTTTACCGCACGTCCTTTGTTTATTTACAATTTCCACTACCTCTTTTTGTTGATTTCATTTTTCCTCCCTCACTGTGAAACATTTTATTTTTTCAAATTTTCCACCAAAAGCGCAAAGTGAGATTTGATTTAGATGGAAAGATCCAAGCAGAGCCCGTAGAACTAAGAGAATAAAACAGAAAGCTCACAAAGGTAACGTTTTCCTCCGCCTGCTGAGGGACCTGCATTAAACATCAAAGGGGGGAGATAAAAAAAAAAGCTGTGTTTCAGGAACAAAGAGTAAAGCGCGCACTCACTCGATGTGATGGACGTTCTCTCCACCTTTCTGCCACACGTAGGTCATGTTGGGGGGGTCGGCCACTGCCTGGCACCGCAGCAGTGCATTCTGGGACTTGTTGAGAGAGGTGCTTTGGGGAGGTATGACAATAACAGGCGGACCTGTAGGGAGTCACAAAATGTGTGATTACAAAAAGGGATACAATTAAATACAATTATCTAAAATGATAGGAAATTGTGCCAATTTAAAAAAAAATGGAAGCAGAAATACTTTATTTATCAGAGGGGGAATTGAGTTTTTGTAATAGTCGTTCTGTTTTAGAATTATATAAAATATAAAATAAATAAAACAGTATGGGAAAAATAAAGACCTTTTTGAACATTAAAGCATGGAAACATGTCACAGTAGAAAAACTAAAAATACCAATATGAACCTGAAATTAGCATAATATGTCCACTTTGATTATATACTCATTGTTAGTCTTTAAAAAAAGCTTTTCACTTCCCTCAAAATGTGCTTTATCATTTCAATTCACCCGGTGAGTGTGGCAGAAGTCACAAAAAGTGCCCTTCTTTATGTCCTTTAGGCTACACTTTTGCCGATAACGTTACAGCAGTGTTCAAAGTTAACTTTGATTGCGAAATAACATGTTTGTATCAAACAAAATGTTCTGCTTCAATCGTTTCTTTTGAGTATTTGTCCTTTCAAAAACAAGTCCACTGCACTTAAAAACCCTTTGTTTTCTCTCTTGCCAGACACAAATGGAGACAAGCTCCTGTATTAAAGGGGCGGTCTCAGAGCAATCCAACAGCACCATAAATAACATTTAAAATAAAATAAAAAATAACTTTCTTTCTTAGGGTCAAAGTGTCATTAAATATGATGCTAAGGAGCTTCATTCAGAGCTTCATTCAAAAAACATTAAAGGAACTTTGAATGTAAAAAAAATTGTCTTCGAGCACATCCCAACGTTTTAGGTTCATATTTGTATTTAGTGCCTCTACTGCGACATGTCTTCATGCTTTAATGTTCTCCCTTTGTCTCCCCCATAGCTCTTATTTTTAATGTGCATTTACTCTACCCTTCAGTATCTTTTAAACGTCCTAAATGCATCAGAGGAAGCATTGTTTTTCATTTACTGTGGATCTATGAGAGAGTTACTGATAAATAAAAAGATACGTAACATACCGACATGAAAGTGGAATCAAGTGTGAAATATGGCGGAGTTACACATCATAAAACTCTGATCATGATCTACCTCACACACAGATGATTAGTATTCTCCTCTGCAGTGTGAATGTGATACGACACTCTAAACACATCAGTTCTTATGAGTTGAAGAGAAAATATTAGAAATGTAAGTTTGAATGTTGGTGCAATACATGAGGATATATATTTAACTGCCCCTATCCATTTTCAATTATTACATATACAAACTCATCTTTAAACAGTTCCTTTAACGTGTAATTAATATTGTATTCTTTGTATTTTAGTGTTTGGAGATTATTTTAACATTAATTTTAACCTGCTTTGTAGCATTATTTATTAATATTATTATTATTATTATTAATAACATTATTTATATATTTGTATTTCATTTCTTTTATTATGTGAATATATGTATTTATTATTATTGATTATATATTTTGAGAAAGTACTGAGTTGTTTTACTAAAAATAAACAGTTGAACAATAAATACAAATAAATAAATGCTTTATTAAAAGAATGTTTGTGATATACCAGTATTGACAATAACCCTGATACTTAAAAAAAGGAACAAAATAAATATTTATATATCGATTAAATGTTGTATAAAACCATCATACTGCCCTGGTGAATTATCACATCCAAGATAATGATGTATTTAAAATGTGATAGTAGCAAATTAGGCTAATTTAAATATTTGTACACAAAATAGAAGAAAACATAAGTGGTGACAATATTTTGGATTAAAAAATATAAATCTACAATGTTTGTCGAAAATGCAGCATTAAAAAAAAATATATGATTTGTTTTACCATAAGGAAGTAAAGTACCTCCAATGTAGCATCTAAGAAAATGTATTTAGCTACTTCCCACAATTGGAGTGTAATAGTGAATGCATCACTGCAACAAACACTCATATTACTGTGAGAAAATGAGCTGGGGATTTGAGTGTTGAAAGTCCTGATTACTGCTTAACAAAAGCAAAGGAGAAAAGCTGTCAAAAAGAACCTTTTCAGAAACAAAATAATTGGAAACATAATAATACCCGATACCCCTGAGACTCCTGCTGTCAAATGTCATGTAATCTCCTAGTAAACTAATCATGAACGCCTGTTAGAAGGTGTTGCCATGCATTAGTTTGGAGGTTACCGAAAGCTTTTAGACTTCATCCAGATCAGCTACTAGTCTCCTGTGATCCATCCATGTGGCACCGGCGCACAAAAACACAGCCAAAGCTTACATAATGTGACTAAGACTGACAGTATTAAAGCGGTATGTGCTCGGGATGATTATTATTCAAGATTCCAGAGACATTAGGCAAAAATAAATAAAAAAGACAATGTTCCCCCGCGCAGCAGCACCACGCTCCAGACGAGTCCTGGCCCTCCGGAGAAAAAAGACCCCGCAGTAGGTGTAGGTGTAGGAGTACAAAAAAGGAGTCAGGAATAAACCGCACAATGCATTACGTCGTGCTGTGTTGGTGGTGTAATCCTATGATACATAGCAGAACATTTGCATATTCTACATGTATTTGTCCTCATATTGGGCAGTCAATTCCTACATTTCAGGCAAGTCGTCAAAAAACACAAAACTATGGAGTCTACCAAATGAATAAAAAACCGGGCACATTTAAGTCCTGGATTCAAGATAAACAATGTTGTTCTTAAACCTATTACCCATGTAGACACACTTGTATTTGATATATAGAATGTATCTAAGTGGATGTGTTTTTTGTTTTTAAAGAATAACTTTTCCCTACAAACTCATGAATGTTGATACCTATACAAGTGCAATTCTATTATTCTTGATAACCCAAAAAACAAGTGACATTCTACATACCTGCCATTGTTATATTGCTCATATTAAAGCTCATTATTCCTTCACTAATATATGTTTTAAATATATATTTATTTATTTTATAAGGCTGTCCTTCAAACAACTGTTTTAATTCAAGTTTCTCACCAAATACAAGATTACATTTGAATAGTTTATGATAACGATATAATAATCCTTTGCCCAAATCTTATATTTACTGAAAGCTTGAACGAGTCATTATATAACTCAATGAAACCTATAGGTTACTTACGTAACCCCAGTTCTCAGAGTAACATGAAGTGAGATGTCTCACTATGGGATGCGCCTCATCGCGGAGCAAACAGAAGCATCAATCTCATTACGCCAATCCTGATTGGCTGGTGATCTTGACGTCAGCGTCAGGGAATCCACCCCCTATAAGTAGCTTGCGCTACGCCGCATGCGTCATTCAAAATAAGCACCTCTTCTCGCTTCACCATAGCAAGGAGGGCCGTCTGGTGAGACATCTCACTTCATGTTACTCTGAGAACTGGGGTTACGTAAGTAACCTATAGTTCTCATTCATAACACTCCGTTCGATGTCTCACTATGGGATATTGTAGCTCCCGTATTGCCAGACGAGCTTATCTCGAAAGTCACCAAGACCAACCAGAACTTAACAGTTAGAGCTCTAACTCAGCAGGAGGCCCAGCACTGCATGGGCCACACTGGGAGCAGAGACGTCTAATCTGTAAAAGCGGACAAAAGTGAGCGGCGAGGACCAGCTCGCTGCTGCACAAATGTCTTGGATGGAAACACCCCTGAACAAAGCCCAGGATGTAGCCAGACCACGAGTCGAATGAGAACGCAAACCCGAAGGTGCCTGCAGACCCTGACTCGTATAAGCCAAAGCAATTGCTCCACAATCCAGTGAGCGAGCCGTTGCATTAGTACAGGCTTGCACTTCTGAGGGTTATCCCAGACCAAGAGTTGGTCATTATGACGAAACTCTTTTTGATCCTGTCCATAGTAAGTGGCGTAACGCACGCGGCTGGACATAGCAAATTCCGCTGCGTTCGAGGGCCACGGCGGCGGAACATGCTCACTGGTCACATTGGGGGTACATGAACCCCCACTTAGGTAATATACCCGAGGGTGGGCTTCACCACACTCTCGTTAACCCTCGGGCCGAATGAGTGATGAGCGA